CCTAACTGCGCTCTCATAGTATCTGTAATGTACTGGTAGTCTAAGCCCAGTAGCCCAGTATAAAAGCCCTCAAAAATATTCTTGTTTTTGTGTACAGCACTCAATATTCTCGATGACATTCTTATTGTAAAATTCACACCAGAATTCACATTAATCTCACAATTTATGGAAACCTTTCAATCATTTGGAGACAAGAATTTTGGTGTTGTTTTTCTCTCCACTCAGACGACACTTTAAAAACTCTTATGAAATATATTTTTAATTCATTGAAGAGTTTTTTCACAATTTTTTCGCAGTTTAATACGTAAAATGTATTAATAAATTTATAAATATCTCAGTGTTTAAATCTAATTGTATGTTATATTACGACAAATTGTGTACTCGAGACTACTTACGAATAGTTTATGGATATATTTATAACATTAACAAAAAACAAAAAATTTAAATAATAATAAAAATAATTTAAGAAAATTCTTACATTTGAAAAACACTTGAGAATTGAGTTTAGAATACAATTCTTGATATTTGTGTTTTTCATTCAAAACAATCACTTTTTTAATGTCAATACAAGTATTGTTTTTATTATTTGCGTCAATATAATAATTCTATTGAATATAATTTCCATTATATTTTATAAATCAAATATTTGAAAACTTTTACATTATTTGAGTTTTTAAATGTTTCTAATGAAAAGATTTAAATACAATGTTTTTAATTATAAAAATTAAGTTATGATACAATCATATGATATATTGAGGTAAAGAAAATGTATATAAGGATATAAATTGTATGTAATTCTATGACTAGAATATCAAATAAAATTAAATGAGATTTTGTTTGAGAGAGAGAGAGAGAGAGAGAGAGAGAGAGCTTATGTTGAATCCCAATCACAAGACATAAATAAAAAACGAGTGAAATCTGATTAATATCTTTGTTAAGCTGTTATTCAATTAGATATTTTGTATTTCAACGGAGTTTTTATACAAACAGAGGCTAAGAAAAGAGGAAAAAATTAATTGATGTTTCGCTGTATTACTATCTTATCCGACGAAATAACAAATGAATTCTTGAGGATCTCTTCATTTTTATTCCTCAGACACAACACATACGTACTGTTTGTGTATATTATATCTATTGATGTCTTTAACCAAAATTATATAAAAAGTGCAAAACACACACAAAACATACAAAACATTCAATAACTTTATTGAGATTCAAATTGAATAAACAAAATGAATGAATGTGTGTCACAAATACAAGTAAGCAAAGAGTCTGAGAGTTATATTACTTTTCAATAGACGCCTCATTCAATAAATACACCAAATTTCCAAAGGATTCCCATTAATATTCTGTTATATTTACTGTTCTCTCTCTCTCTCTCAACGTATTTAACAAATAGATTATTAAATGAAGTTTTCCTCACAAATGACTTCTAATTATTCAGATTCTGAGTTAAATTTTAAATTAAATGCAAATTAATGGCCAATACTATTATATTCACACACACACACACACTCACACACACACTCACACACACACACACACACTCACACACAAACTGTTGTCTATATGATGTGTTTGCGAGATACTTTGTATGTGTGAATAGAGACATGTATTTATCACTCGATTCTCTTATCAATCATATCATTAGATCTCATTTAAGTCTTTGCAGTAAAATCTTTAGAAATATTTACTCAAAGGCTACTGTGAATAGAGTGAACGTATTTGTTATACAATTTACATCCAATTATACTGTATATTCACATTACATTTACTCTGTTTTGAGTTGAAAACTTTTTGTGAGACATCGTATTTTTTATTTAGAAATCAAATTAAAATTCATTGGAAAATCCGTGTGTAATACAAAAAACTCATACACAGAATATTCTGCGTACGAGTCATGAGTAACTATATTTTTGCAATCCTTTTAGTCTTTGCCATTAATATGTGTTTGTAATTAGAGATGAATCGGAAGATATATTTATATAGACTATATACCAGTATAATGTATATAAAACTAACAGAAAATATTTCTCTATTTGAATGTATACTCTAAAAAAGGTTCGGAGAAACTAATTAGGAGTTGAATTAGTTTTGCAAAACACTAGTGAACACAGAGTTAGAGATATATTCATTGAAAACATTTTAATATAACGACAGATGTTTTCTCTGTATTTAATTCTCTAAAATAATTTATTATTAGTATTATTGTAATTATTTTTGTCTCTTGTGTTATATGAATGTCTTATATGAATGTGAGATTGATTTTCATGAATGTCGTCATATTCTCGACTAATCATTAAAACATATTTTTGTTAAATGAGTTAATATTTAAATTATTTTTTCCTGTCTTTATTTGTCTATCAAAATATAATACCAATTAATGTGTTGTTTTCCGGTTCATATAATTATAATCTTTTAAAATATAAAGTTATAATTATATATGTAAACAATAAATACGTAAATACTTATGTCATTAGATACATCTAAATATTTAGGATTATTATGTTTACTATAAAGGATTTATAAAACTGTATTATAAAGTGATATAAAAATTGTTTTAAATCTTGAAATCAATTAATAGCTAGCTTAATGTTATTGTCTCACTGTAAAATGGTGATTGGCAATTAATTTTAAGTTATTACCTTTTATATATTTTTGAATTTATACTTTTTATATAAATGATTAAACACTATAATTATTCTTTACATTCATTAGAATTGGGATATTCTATAGTATTTAACACAGAATCTAATGCTAAAAGTTATGTTCAATTCATGTAATAGTCTTTGAAAAAGTAACGAATAAAATAAAATATACAATAAGTATACAAATGAACGCTATTTAATGACTAATGACTGTAATATCACTTTGAAAATAATTACATCTCTCTCTCTCTCTCTCTCCCTCTCTCTCCCTCTCTCTCTCTCTCTCGTAACTTTCAATTACTTTTATCGATATTTTGGATCCAAATGAGAGTCGGAATCTCATGAATTGTAAAATTAAGCAAAAATCTTCTCTCAGATAATATCATTTGAATAAAATTTGAAAAATAAATAAATGTGAAAAAAATCCAATTTATATTTGGCTCTCATTTCTCGTAACAATTTGTGATTTATTTGATATTTATATATAAATTAATCTAAATATTAATGATAGACAGGAGTGTATCACAAATATTTTCAATTTAATACCTAAGCGGTAATACCAGGAATTACTCCCTCCCTATGCTCTCTGTCAACCCATACCCAGAGTGTCTCATATCATATTGTGCTGTATGTCATGAATAAAGCTATTGAATAACTTTGAATACAAAATGTGAATAAAATTGGCCTCAAATTTATATCAATTTTTGAGACACAATCCCCACAGAATTGACACGATTTTTATAATAATTTTTTCTTAGCTATGATTATAATATAAAAGCACTTTTACGACAAACACACAATTTATATCAATATATTGTTTGTTGTTTTTCATCCCATATATTATACTTTTTAGAGTAAATATACGAAAGCATACGGAAATGGATGGAGTGGTGGAGTAAACCGATTAAATCGCGTGTGTGTGCGACACCGGCCAGGGATATAAACATAGCACAAAAAATGGTTCACCTAAAACCCTGAACACTTATTCACTAGTATTCTGGTCATCGCTGGTGGTGTTTGTATCCGACACTTGAATACAAATTGATTTCAGGATAACGGCTCCGCAAAAGGTTTTAGAAATGTTATGATAGCGTAAGAGTTGTGTCGTTTATATTGATATTTGTGTCTAAAAATATATACATGCGAGTCGTTTGAATAAATATATGAATAACCATTCAATTTATTGCCAATACGTTTGTATATAAATATAGAGTTAGGAAATGAATGATTATTGTGTAGTGTTATAGGGTCTGTGATTTTAGTCACTTTCAAACGACTTAAAGATTTACATTTTTGACAATATTGTAGCAATAATTTCCTTTTGAAGTTATCAATCTTTTACTCAATTTTTATTTTCGTTTAAAATTATTAAATTATATTATTTATATAGTTAAAACAAAAATCTCATACTTTATAAACTTTTTAAGGAATGAATTATTATTTATAACTAATAATTTATATTAATATTTCTAAAATTAAATAAACTAAGAACTAAATTTATTAACTTAAGATTAATTTTTATGTAGTTTTGAATTACTTATAACTTTATAACAGTATTGAAAACTTTTTGAATTACTTATAATAGTATTACGATAAACATTAAAAATTCTTAAATAGGTTTTTTTTTATGAATTAACAAATTGTTAACTATTAAAAACATTTTATTACAAATTAATATGTTTGTAATGAAAAACAAAACCATTTTCATACATTAATAAACACAAAACAAAATTATAATCCAAATATAATTTATAAGGGAATCGTAAAGAATATCGTGGACAGGGATATAACGCCTGTGCGAATCCGTGGTCTGGTATGGGAGTCGCGCGCGCACTGGCAGCTCGCGAGTCGTTTGCACCGTTAGTTTATTGGCAATAAGTAGAGTCAGTCTCTCCGACAGCATAAATGCCAACACTTTTGTGAGTGCCGTTTGCGATCAACTTTTGCATCTCTTTTATATGTGATATCACTTTTAACTCCAATTGTGTTTCTACTATACTATACGGTATACATAGCACTGGTATACATAGCACTTGTATAACACATATACGGTGCAAATATATACACGTATAGTAGCTACCGATAGCTTAAATAGTAATTATCGGCAAATAATAACAACACAAAACTTGTCACCAATTTATAACAAAAGCTTTTATCTGTTGTGCGAAACAAATCTTTTTTATTAGTTTTTGTTGTTTTGTTTTGTTTGTGTGACTTCTGTCTCGTTGTATGCGTTCACTCCCGACTCCTTAGTATTGTCTTGTAGTGAGCCATCAATTTGTGGGCCACTTCTCGCTCATCGGTGTGACAGTGAATGTGCTTAACCAGGGTAGACATAAACTGCTTGCTAATCAAATTAAAAGTGGATTTTGCGGTCTATTTTTGACAACCCGTTCGTGTCATTCACGATAGGCTCAGGGCTTACGCCACAGAATTTAGGCACAGAATCCGTGAGACGAGTAGTTCTGTCGCGAAGTTTATGCTATCATAAGATATTTAGACATAAAACGTGTTAACATTTGAATTGTTTGAATGTATGTATGGCTATAGTATTTGTTTGGCAGATTTAAGTGAGCAATACAATTAACTAAATGACTTTAGAGTTAGAGCACTGGTAGTAACCTAACCTAACACTCCTGACACCACAGCTCAGACCTACCAAAACCACTTGTACTCCATTTGTACGCTAAATACAAATAGTAAAGAAAAATAAGTGAAAGTGAAATAATATCCACTAAACTCTTAAACTGATTATTAAACTCAATGGAAACCATGGATAATAGTATGGTTATAGAGCTGTACAGCACCGACACTAATAAATTGGCGGCAAATATGAGTGACTCGATGGTGACGATGGACACGACTGTCCTCATGGATTTAAACAACTCAATGGGGGTGAACCCCACGGAAATGTCGCCCGAAAATGTATACATTCTTCCTCTTTGGCAGCAATTCCTATGGACTTTAGTGTTCGGCACAATGGTATTAGTGGCCGCCGGAGGCAATATTATTGTCATATGGATTGTATTGGCACACAAGAGAATGGTATGAGCTATACATCCCTTTCCAATCCTTATCAGTAACTTATTTGTGTGAGTGAGTGAGTGGTAGGAGAGAGAGAGAGAGAGAGAGCGAGAGAGAGAAAGAGAGAGAGCGAGAGAGAGAAAGAGAGAGAGACTTTTACTCAATGATAATCTTATTTAATGTGAATATTCTGTATATGTTTTGAAGCTATTTTCATTGCCCATTGAATACTAACTTTGTTGTGTTATTTGTGATAAACACAGAGAACTGTCACCAATTATTTTCTGGTGAACCTAAGTCTGGCGGACACAATGGTCTCCACACTGAACGTCATCTTCAACTTCATATATATGCTGAACAGCGACTGGCCTTTCGGGCAATTCTACTGCAAAGTATCCAACTTTATTGCCATCGTATCGGTGGCCGCATCCGTATTCACGCTTATGGCCATCTCTATCGACAGGTCAGTCCACACATCCCTTGCCTATCATTACATTCACTACTGGATGATGTGTATCAGAGAAATATATTTTTTTAACTTTTGAATGAATCTATTGCCAAAACAAAGCTAATCATATTTTTGTTTCATAAATCATAAAAAGCATTTACGTGTGATATTTAAATTTAAAGACATGTATAAATAAAAATGAAAATTGAAAATATACGTCAGAATTGAATGCAATAATTGGATGTTTTTTCCTAACAGTAACTCATTAAATATGAAATGCATGTAAAAATTAATGAGAAAAAAGTAGACAATTTAGAAAGACTGGTAAATACATTTTGACGTATTTTTTGTAATTAAAATGTATTTTTAATCTATGAAAAAATATTTTTATTCACAAATTTCTTAAATGTCAATATATTTAATCCAATTCTTATTATTTAAGTAAATATAATTAATTGAAAAACATTAGCACCTAATATAATAGTCTCTCTCTCTCTCTCTCTCTCTCTCGTAACTTAGTTCTCTGTGTTTATCACAAATAACACAACAAAGTTAGTATTCAATGGGCAATGAAAATAGCTTCAAAACATATACAGAATATTCACATTAAATAAGATTATCATTGAGTAAAAGTCTCTCTCTCTCTCTCTCTCTCTCTCTCTCTCTGTCTGTCTCTCGCATAAAGTGTTTTAATAATAAAAAATACTAAATTTTCATTAAGCTTTCGACCATAAAATGCTTTATAAAAGTATGAATCGCTGGCAAAAGACTCTTAGTTTTTTTGTTAAAGAAATAAATTATTTAAACACTAGTATTAAAATGAATTGTGCTTTGATTAATGGTCTCTAAATTACAATTTCGAGACAATTGTTGTCTCTATTGTGTTAATCACTGACAAAAATGCCATAACTATAACCCAACATAAAATTCATGCTTTTAATGGTAACTCTTATATTAATATAATCTAAATTAATATCAATTGAAATTTGCGATGAATATAATACTAGTATATTATTATACA